GAATAAAGTAAATTGTTTCAATTGCAATATAACTCGTCAAAAAAGGTTTGTGTGCCAAAAATCACCAATATAAAACAGTAACAGATATCAAAATGGATTCCATGTTTGCAAAACTGTTCAAAATTTTTTCTATTCGTTAGATTGATGAAAAGCCTTGCTTGGCGTATTCACAGATAACAGCACAAACATTTTCAATGTTGAAGTGAAGTTCTTCCACGGTAATTACACCTTCATCATAATACATCAACTGTTTCATATAGCCCCACAGAAAAAAATTGCCAGGCATTAAATCGAGGATGGGTGCAGGTTGAGAAATGGATCTGTTGTGTCCTATTGATTCATTCGGAAAATTATCATTTAAGTAATCACGAACAACTCTTTTCAACTGTGTTGAAGCTCCATTATGTAGCAACCACATAGTCTGTCTCACATTCAGAGTATAATAACTTTTTTAATAATCAGTGCAGATTGAAAGAAAATCTAAATAAATTTCAACTGTCAGGCAAGGTGGAAAAAGTGGGGTCTAATAAGCATTGCTATTACTAAGCTAGTTCATTCGAAGAAAATATATATTAAAAACGATTTATTTTCCCAAAATACGGATTTTCTACTGTTCAATCATGATTATTGTAGAAATTGTATACTTCAGTTCGTGAAAATGTAATCTGGACTGTACACAAATCAATTTTGTACAATCTTAATTTCTTTATGAAAGTTATTTCTTGGGTTTATTGGCCGTGATCTACAAGTTTTATACCTGACGATTCGTCTATTATTGCGGTAGATATTATCACGGGCGAAGAAGCAACGGTAAAAGTGCTCGGGTTGTTTCTATTGGTTGGACTTTGTTTCTATTGGTTGGATCAAATTGCCGTATTAGTGTTCAATTGAGGACAAGAACCCGGATTTTAATTTTGTTGATTTTTCTTTTCTATTGAAATATTATCTATGTTTTTGCTGCCCAATGCGATACCATCCGTTTGCTCGTAAGAAACACCATATTACTGAAAATACGTTGATGATAACAAGTAAGTCGAATATAGGTCCTAGAGCATGAGGCTGTGAAACCGTTTTGTTGGCTGTGTCACTTTAAGGCTATACCACGTTCGTGATATCCACAATGCCGAAAATTACTTTTCGACGCCGTTTAATTAGCATGTCTTACAAGGAAAGGGTTTTTCCTTCTTGTTGGAAGATTGCTCGCGTTCAGCTTACTTCCAAAAAGGGCAAGAAAAATCTTTCAAATAACTGTTGACCAGTCGCTTTGTTAACAGTGATCCTGAGCGATCATCAATATGGTTTTTGGAAACAAATATCAACAGGCGACCTTTTGTCGTATGTCACCCATATTTGGAATAACGCAATCGAAAAACATGGAGAGTTAAGAGCTGTTGCGCTTGATATTTCTAAGGCACTAGTACAGTCATTTTAGGGGGTTTGCCTAGGAAAGTGGACATACCCAGCTGTAAATTTGTAATAACATTGTATTTTGGCATCATAAAAGTATTCTAAAAATTCCCATATGATTCGACGGCCGCAACTTCAAAAATTAGGGGTCAAAAGTAAAAAAAACGACTTTTTGCACGTTTTTTGCCAATATCTCGTTTCCAATGGGTTTTATGCTAATTGTATTTATTATCAATATTGTAGAGAATCAAATTGTCTACAACTTTTGTTTCGAATATTTTTTCATTTGTTGAATCGTTTTTGAGATATAGGGCAATGCGGGCGCATTTTAAATATTGAGTTAAATATCTGGTTGTCCCGATCGAAATCAGCTCATTTAAGGTTTATAAATTATTACTTAATAAATAATTATGGATAATTTTCATTTTTCATCAACAAAGACATCATGTTTAAATATTTTTTTCATTAATTATTTATTTTCAATTAAGTATCAATTTATTTAATAACACTTACCTGCCCGTGTGGTTATAAATTTTTAGAGGGAAAAGATTAAATATAATTCAAAAAGACTCAAAATCACTCTTTTATAGCATATGAAACTAAAAAATAAAGAATGAATGTAGTTTAAAAAAATTAAAAAAACACATAAAATAATTAAAAGAAAAATGAGTTTCAATTTCAGTTTTCTTCTTCTTCATCGTCGTCGTCTTCTCGCAGCTGTAAAAATTCAAGAGCGTTATCATCTTAATTGTCATTCGTTTCCAATTCTTCCATGATTTCTGGATCAAAAGACATATCTTCGTTAACATCGGTCTCATATGGTACAGCATTGAGACAAGCTCGTCCATTACACTGGCCACAAGCTAAAGAGCATTGCAACACCGCTTTCCTGCATCCACATCTAGGACCACAACCACTTTTGCAGTTACAGAATACCACCTGGAGCAGGTGGTAAAATGGTCATGATAGGTTCTAGCAATCCGTTACGCATTGTCCAACCCCATTCCTGGGGTTCCAAATCATATCCTAACCAAGTTTGAACTTGGTAATAAACTCGATTGAAATTTTGGTGAGCTGCTCCAATTGTTGGTGGGATATTTGATAGCTGCACAGGTTTATTGAGCTTTGTTAGCTTGACATATTGTACATAACGAAGATGATCGATAGTATCTACAGACTTTGGAGCATTATAAACAGCTAATGAAGTTTGCAATCCACTATCAAATAATCTTTGAACCGGGCAGTTTTCTTCTTTAAATGCTGCGGCAAGTTCATCCAAATTAGATAGTTTCTCGAATGTTCTTAAAAACATTTACAATCAAAATGTAATCAAAGTATATCCCTTAATGACTTACAGGAATACATGAAATACAGGAATAAATTGCATTATTGAATTCATAGGTCGGTTCATTAATGAAAAAAATATTCGAATATAATTTATTTGTTAATAAAAAATGAAAGTTAATTATAATTATTCATCAAGTAATAATTTATAAACTTCAAATGAGCTGATTTCGATCGAGACAACCAGTTAATTTCAAATAATATTTAATCTGTGCCCGCGCTGCCCTCTATCTCAAAAACGATTCAACATATGAAAAAATGTTTGAAACAAAAGTTGTAGACAATTTAATTCTCTACAATATTGCATAAAACCTATTAAAAACGAGATATTGGCAAAAAACCTGCAAAAAGTCGGTTTTTTAAACTTTTGACCCCCAATTTTTGAAGTTGCGGCCGTCGAATGATATGTGAATTTTGAGAATACTTTTATGATGCCAAAATACAAAGTTCATATATATTTACAGCCGGTTATGTCAACTTTCCGAAATACAGGCCTAAATCGACCTAAAATGACTGGACAAACGAGGCGTGTGTGGCATGACGGTTTGCTGGACAAACTTCATTGCTATGGCTTGTCGTATCGATACTTTAACCATCAATGCCCTGGGATCCATATTGTCTCCAACCCTCTTTTCATTGTATATCAGCAACTCATTGGAAAAAATAAAAAATCCGAAATATTTCTTTGCTGACGACAAAACACTTGTACCGTCATTCCATCTGGATTCCAGGACATTGGCTGCGGATGCACATTTTCACCGAAAGCAGGAAGTTGCATGTCTAAATGAGTATCTAGAGGTGGTTTCGAATTGGGGTGGAAGAAATCAAGTTCAATTCAATGCCACAATAACCGAGGCATCGGTTTTCTCCGAAAAGATGATAGTCTCCGAACCGGATGTAATAATGTCAAAACAGACAATTTCGCTTTCTGATTCGATTAGTTTGTTGGGGTTAAGCTGGACACCAATATGTCTTGGCATAATCATGAAGCTGGAATTGCAAAGGATGCTTCTCAGAAGCTTGGAACACTGTTCCGAGCCAGAAAACTGTATACACCTCAGCAACTTTTGATTCTCAGATCAGAGCCTCTTTGGGGTATTGTTCTCATGTATGTTCAAGAACTCTTTCATTTGGAGAACTGCGTTTATGTGGAAGAACGTTTTTCCAAAGGGATTTTATCTTCAGCGATTCAAATCCAATGTGAATCGCTTCTTACGCACAGGCACCGCTCTTGGAGCGAGGGTCATGGATAGTGACGAATATTATGGGTTTATGGTTACGAATCGAAACCAAAATCCAATCAACCTAATGAAAGAGCTCAGGAAAGTCAAGCCCGAAAAAACACGCCAAGTTCGATCAAATAAATGTCAAGTTTTGCCCAGTATTTTCGTCGATTGCCGTGACATAGTTCATCAGGAGTTCTTGTCACATGATCGTATGGTCAATGAGGAATAGTATCTTGAAGTCATACGTCGCTTCCGAGAAGCAAAGCTCAGAAATCGTCCGGTATTGTGGAACAACAATTCATGCCTTTTGCATTACGATAATGCACCTGCTCACAACACTGTAATCATAACTCAGCCACCGTATTCACCAGATTTGGTGCCTTTCGACTTTTTCGAATGGCTGAGAAAGCTCAAGGGCATACCAAAAAGTGCATATCAGAACTACTTCGAGGATTGGAAAAATCGCCGGCACAAGTGTATTATATCTGAGGGAAAATAGTTTGAAGGGGATGAAATAGAAATTGAGAAAACTGAAATTTTGTCTTATTTTTTAAACAGACTGTGTAAAACATAGGATCACATCTGATGCTGCATTTTATTGGCATTCTCCGAATGTTAATATTATTCAGTTTGTTTTCATAAACGTGGGCTATTTTTTCTCTCACAGTAATAAGAGAAATAAGTTTCAGGCCCTTTGAAGGGCTAATTTCAAGTGGTGTAACCACTCGTAATTAAAAACAATAATTCACATAGTCTATCTAGATGAGCGATATCAGTAATAAATGAAACTAAGTTTTTACACGGCAGTGGACATGAAACAAATTGAAACTGATTCATAAAAAAATAATATTATGACGCAACTATTATAAAGGTGATTTCTGGTTTGTCAAATTCTTTCGTTCTACAGTCTCAACTTTTAAAACACCCTATAAATAATGACTTCGCGGGTGAAAGTGGTGTTTTAATCCAAACATATATATTTTTTATAATACAACAAAAATTGAAAATGTATTTTTTTTTCAGTTCTAATATGTGTGTAGCTCAGGATATGATCTGCGATGGACACAAAGACTGCCCTAATGGCGAAGATGAGCTGATTTGCTACAACTTATTTTCAGAAGGTGAAAAAACGTAAGTAGTATTAGTGTTACCCAGTTTATACATATATGCATATTTTCATAATATAAATCAAAAATGAAAATTAGGTCATAAGAAAATTTACTGGTAATTCTTCAAAAAATATTTTCCAGATTCTATTTCCATGAATTGATTATTGACTACATATTGAAATGAAATTCTTCGTGTACGGAGACAGCCTAATAGTGAAAGTAATTGATCATATGCCATTTGCTCTTTCCAAATGACTGAGTGTGTTCAATTTATTGAAGTTTTGTGTGAATTGATTGAGATATGGACGATGTTATGCGTGAGGAGTCGTGGCGATGGTTCAATAATGGTGATCTATTCAAATACAGCTGGCCATTCGTTAGAATGTTTGAAGTTTTGTGTTCAATAATTTCCATTACATCCAAATAATTTTGCTTTTAACCTTCATTTTCTATGTTTCAAAATTTCGAAATATTTGTTAATGATATGATTTTCTTCTGAACTATTATTTGAATATGTTGAACTTGTTTTCTTATTTACATAGCTCACATGATGTGCCTGGATACGATTCCTGAATGTTCTGCCAGTTTGACCAATATCTGTTTAAATTTGTTCAAAATCTATTTTCCGTTAATCAGCTGTCACCCACATACGAACGACAACTCTCAGAAGTTGAGAAACTTGTGCGAGCTTAGGACTAACGAGGTCTTACCTTTTAACATGTGATTCCTGACACGGTAATATATACCTTACGACAGGTTCCACACTTCAGTTCTTTTCATACTATTTTCTACTAACTTTCGCAACGTATTATCTGTTCTATATGCAATTTTAATACTAGGTTAATCAAAAATGAAGCTACTTTCTCTGTTGTTTGTCCAAAATATATTGAATCTTTATAATAACTTATCAATAGAAAAAACGTTTCGAATCGCTTTCGCTTAGACTTTTTTGGAAAGTATTTTGTCAGGTAATTCAGCTTTGAATCCGTTTTTTACTGCAATTTGCTTGACGATATTGAGTACTTTATTGAAATTATCTATTGAAAAAGGAACATTGACTGATCTAAAAAGCATGCTATTGTGAGATCCTACTTTGTGTTGATATGGATTGGTAGAATCATAATGTTTAATAATATCTGTATCTGTAGAGTAGACACTTAGGCCACATGTTACCCATTGTACATCCTTCCGAAGAGTTATCCTCCTAGGTCATCGTCCATCCTGTCCTTTCCAGGTGGAACAGGTGGACAGGTCACTAGGAGATATCTCCTTTATATCGGCAGGTGTAGGCCAGGACTGGCCGAACACACACTCTCTTATTGACGATAACTCCGGACACTGGCATAGGACATTCTTGACAATTTCTTCTTCCTGTTCACACATCCTGCATAGAGGTGTATCCACTAGCCCCATATTATGGAAGTGTTTCCTTAGTTGACAGTGGCCAGTTAGAAATCCTAAGCGTAAGATTTTTCCTCGCCATCGCCAGATATTTTTTTCGGCGCCAGCTTTCCAGAGTCGCCTAGGGTGATCCTGACAAGATTGCATCCTTTGATTCTGTCCCATCTCTTTAGGGATTGAGCATGGGTGTGACGTTTGGATAGTTCCGCAATTGTCATAAGGCCGTAGGCGTCAGTGGGTTCTAGTAATATTCGTAAGGGAAGGTTTGTGATAAATTGAAAATTCATTTTTGTTGTTCATTCTGCTAATCGTTAAGTCCAAACTGATGTGATCCTTTGATAGAGAAAAATGTAGGCAAATATGCCGATTTTATATCGAAATATAAATTTAAAAAATAGTTATGACGTTCTGACTTTTTGAGTGAAAAGTAATCTCAATAAATATTTGAAACAAGAATTAATATGAATATATCCATCGAGCATGAATTGAGTCTACCTTCGACAATACCCACTGTAATGCTGCTTGCCTATATCGAGGCTTGAATTAATCATAGCTCGGAGACTGAAAAGAAAGTTTATCTGGTGATTATTATATCGACGAGGAAGGAGTTTTGACGATCATGAAATAATTGCATTAAGTCAAATAAATGAGTTATTAGGAATATGGGATTCGCTTTTCCTCCTACAAAATGTTCATGTCAGAAGTAATTGGTATATATCGTGTTCTTTTCAGTTATTAATGTATTTTCAGATTCTAATTTGTTTGCAATAAAAACCCATTTTTCATTATTTATCGTTTCATATAACACAGTACTAATTCATATGCATAATTTTGAATCGATAATCCTATGATTACAACTTTTATATGCCATTACATTTTTTCATTCATTTAGAAACAATTAATTGTTTTCAAATTTCTAAGGAGAGTTTTTGAATGTTTTCTCATAAGGACAAAACACAAGCACTACAGAAAAATCCTAAAGGTGCTCTAAGAGTGGTGCCTGTGCAAAAAGTAGCGATTCACGTTAGATTTAAATCGCTGGAGATTAAATACATTTGGAAAAACGTTATCAGGAAGTTCATTCCACGTAAACGCATTTTTCCAAATGGAATAATTCTTAAACACTTTCCGTGAAAGTTTCTATAAAAGAGAAACAAATCCCCAACCTTTCTTCAATGTCCAAAACTATCAAAGTTGTAAGTTATGTTCGTGTCTTCAATCAGGCAGATAGCTCTTTTCTGGATAGAATCCATCAGCTTTAAGGTATGCTTAGGGTATGTCCACATACATGTGAACAATACTTCAAAGAAGGTCTGATCTGAGCTTTATAAAGCATCAAAAGTTGCTGAGTTGTATACAGTTTTCTGGTTAGGAACAGTGTTTCAAGCTTTTGAAAAGCCGCCTTTGCAATTCCAGCGATATTATTGTGACAAGACATATTGATGTCTATCTTAATCCCCAACAAACTTATCGAATCAGAAAGCGGAATTGTCTGTCCTGACATTATTACATCCGGTTCGGAGACATTTGGCATTCATTTTCAATAGGTGTATGGATACAGGTTTCTGGCCAACAGCACTAAAAAAACAATAGTTATTCCTTTATTCAAGAACGGCGATGAGACAGTGGTTACAAATTACAGACCCATTTCCCTTACTACACACCTGAACAAAGTTTTTGAAAAAATCCTTAAAAAAAGGTTAACATCGTACGTCTCGAAATATAACATAATATCTAATCGTCAGTTTGGGTTTCGCGAAAAAGTATCCACTCAGGACGCAATCATAGCTCTCATCACAGATATATCATCAGCTCTTAATGAAAATAAACCATGCCTATGCGTATTCATCGACTTGTCGAAGGCATTCGACACAGTTGACTATGANATTATTTATCTTTCTGGAGAAAACCGATGCCTGTGTTTTCGTAGCATTGAATTGAACTTGGTTACTTTCACTCTAATTCGAAATCACCTCTAGATCCTCATTAAGTTATGCAACCTCCAGCTGCCGGTGAAGATGTGCATCCACAGCCCATTGACATGTTCCATTATAATGGGTACTCAATATACTCCAAAGTGAAATTTGTGAATTATTCCCTTTTTAGACAGAAACTTTTCAAATTCAATTATGTTTCAATAACATCCTCCGCATTTTGAAATGATGATTCTCTACTTTTTTCGAAGAACAGAGAAAACTATCTTGAAAACTACCTTGTCATCTTGTGGTCGATTTTTACAGAACAAACATTTCCACTGTCACTGTCAAAGAGTAAAACTTTTGATGTGAGCATATTGTGGAACAATATACAGTCCAAACAGTGGACTGCAAAGGGGAACCAGCTCCAAGAAGAGCAAAAACTTTTTTCCGGTTGGGATAGTGATGGCGACTGTTTTTGGGATAGTCATGGAGTTATTCAAATCGATTGTTTTCAAAAAGAAAAACCCATTACAGGAGCATACTACGAATCATTACTTGACAAGCTGGCGGCAGAACTTGCGATAAAACGGCCACACAAAAAATCCTGTTTCACCAAGACAACGCACCGTCTCACATCTCAGCGGTTGCCATGACGAAAATCCACGAATCCACCAAACTCACCAGATCTAGCCTCAAACGACTTCTTTTTGTTCTCTCATCTAAAAATTGCGCTGGAAGAACAGATATTTTCATCAAATGAAGAGACAATCACCTTTGTGAACAAATATTTTGCAGAGAAAACCGCCGAATGCTATCTGGACGGGTGGCAGAAATGGGAGCATCGCTAGAAGAAGTGCTTAAAGTAAAAAGTAGATTATGTTGAAAAATGAAATGAATTGGAAAAATGTCTTATATATTTGTTATGTCGGTAACTTTCCAGACCACCCCTATTAGTAGGTTGTCAGAATTCTCTAGTCTCTTCCTAGATATAACAATCTGTAGATATAATTTCTTGAAAAAGGAAATTCAACTAGTCATTAACACTATATTTCTCAACTTCAAAATTATTTTTCTCTGTCCAGAGATATGATAGGTTCATAAGAATTTTTTTTTCAAATACATTTTCGTATATGTTTTCAGGACTAATGCAGGAGAGGTTATGACTCGTACTGGCGGCATTTGGCACCCCGGTTGCTTCAACTCGCACTACACTGTGGCAGAACTGGAGGAAATCTGCGATAAGTTAGGCTTTCCTGACAGCAATGCTAATCAATTGATACCGCCTAGAAATATCGGCAATATTACGGCCCTACGTCCTGTAATCGATCACTTCAGCATGGTATGGATTTACAGAAACCCACAGTACAAATTCAAGTTGGGGATGAGAACAGGAAACGAGCCATACGTTAGTTTCGTGGAAGATGGGAATTGTTTTAGGTTGTTTTTAGCTTGTATGTGATCTGAATAATGAAATTAGTGTTGATTCAGTTTGTTGCTTATTTTGTTTGTTTTTCAAATGTGTATTACAAAAAATGTATTCCTATCAACTGAAAATCGGTATTGAAAATTCAATCAAAAATTTCACAATTATAAACGATATAAGTTACCAGAAAAAAAATTCGTTCGGGCTTTTCATTAATCTGTTAAACCAGCTGTCGCACCCCTACGAACGACAACCCTCAGAAGTAGAAACTTGTGCGAGCTAAGGATTAACGAGGTCTTACGTTTTAACGTGTGATTCATAACATAATAATATAATACTTCGAATATAATTATCGAATTTTAAATGTTTGCATATCAAAAATCATTCATGCAACTTCATAATGATTACACACCTAACTGAATCTCTTCAATAAAAACGAAAGGTTATGAAAAAACGTCAAAGAAAGGAACTGAAAATAATAGATTTTGAAAAAATAAGTATATTATCCTCATAAGTTTCTTTCATTTATGAAATTAAAAAAAATTAATCTTAAGCAACTTTTTTTGTAAACTAATCGACTAAATGGGCACGAATGCATGAAAAATATTCTAGTACAGCCCCAAACAAACATAATGATATTGATGATTACAATCCAAATTTTACTGACCCCAAATTTTTGGGATATGAATGCAACCACGAGAAAAGAACTATAAATGAAATGAGTCACATTAAAAAACACCAAACGAGATGAACAATAGAATAGATATTAGTAACCTAAGCCAAATCTACCACACTGTTCTTCAACTCAAAAAATAAATCAAAAAGTTTCACCTTACTTCATAATTGAACCATCCCACTCACCCCTAGACATAGAAAATAAACATCCCAAGAATAGAAAAAACAACTGGGAAACGAATCAATTTTCTATTCGATAAACTGCAGAACCAAGGCATTTCACTGAATCCAGAAGCAGTGCTTGTTTCAATCGAAATTATCATTCTAATCATAATGAGAAAAGTATCAAAATACAGATATAAATCAGAAACTATCGTCGTTGATGAGGTATGTAACCCATACATATAGAAAATCTCATCATTAAATATTGTTTTCCTTTTTATACAATTCTACAAAATATAACCACTTTGTTCATTGAATAAAAATACTGAAGATGCCTCTGACCATTGGCGAAACGTCTAATGGAAGATTTTTATTATTATTTCTATTTCAACATGAGCCCAACATCCCAAGAAAATCAACAAAAAAATTAATAATCACAAGAACTTAAGAACTCTAATAAATACTAAATTACAAACACATGACTTCCTTACTCGAAATGTACAATGAATATTCAAGAGGGCTTATGGAAATAGAAGTATTCTTCAGTGAAGAATTGTCTTAACTGCTTCATTAAAACCTTACGGAAAACTTTGCAATAAAGTTATTATCTTTTGATATCCATTCACGGCTACTTGCAGGGAATGTTCTTTCAGGGAGCAGGAGAGCCGTACACAAAAATAATTCGACAACCCACATCATCGAAGTTTGGCCAGCAAACCTTCATGCCACACACGGTCAAAAGCCTTGTAAATATCAAGCGCAACAGCTCTTGACTCTCCACGTTTCTCGATTGCGTTATTCCAAATATGGGTGACATACGATGGAAGGTCGCCTGTTGATCCTATTTTCTGAAAACCATACTGATGATCGCTCAAGATGTGTCGGTTTTCGGCTTTCTCCATGATTTTTGATTTCACTAATAGCAAACTGACTGGTCTATAGTTATTTGTAATATTTCTTTTGCCCTTTTAGGGAATGGGCTACACGCAAGCAATCTTTCAACAAAAAGGAAAAACTCCTTCCTTGTATGAAAGATTGAAAAGTCTGAAAAATACTGGTGCGAATTCATTGGCACCCTTTATAAGTACGATGACGGGCATTTCATCAGGACTAGAAATATTGTTGATATTGAGCTGTTTTAAAATTCGCCTGACGTTGTCGAAAAGTAGTTTTCGTCATTGTGGATTCTAGTGTGGAAATAGTGGGTAGTGTCTTTTCCAGAAAATAAACTGTGGAGTGGGACGCCAATTATTCAGCTAATAGATTCGCTTTTTCGATGGCTGTTGTTGCAATTGAACCATCCGCTTGTATCAGTGGTGGAATTGTGAATTTTGTAGAGTTTTTCGATCAACATCTTTAGCTACCGACCAGAAGGATCTAGACCCGTTGGGACTGGCAAGCAGTTTATCCCTAATTCTCTGATTGTGCAGTTCTTTGCTTTCATTTATTCTAAGTGTGCAGCTATTGAGAGCATTAACAAACCAAGTTCGGTTTTCAATACTGGGATTTTTGCGCCACTCATTAGACATATGCCATGTCATTCCTCAAAAAAACTGGTGTGATAAAACATACTTATATTCATGGAAGACATAACGTATGGTAACAAACATGAAAAACTTATTTTTACATATATTTTATTTCAATGTTTGACAGAAAATATAGTTGTGCAACAACAGTATAAATTTTTGTAAAGACAGAAAACATATTATAGAATAGCGTTCTTCAAAGAAAGAACCAATTTCTTACTTAATGCGGTTTGCTATAGAAGCTAGGATTTCAGATGAAAAAACACGTTATCAATTCCTCATTGGCAGTATTACTACTGTGTGTGTTGAGAATTCCAAAGTTAACCTCCTGATTCTAAATACAGCAAATATGAACAGTTTTGATGATAATTATTGACTTGATAATTGATCGGTTCCCTGATTATATCAACAATTTCAATTCCAGATTACAATACACTGGCAAAAAATATTATGAAAAATGATAAATTAAACTTCTTATGTTTTTATGTTACTTTGTATTTGTAACTAACGATACTGCAGTTTCGTCCTATAAGGACATATTCAAACTAATACAATGGAATAGGAAGTTTTAATTCTCATTTTTCATGATGATCTCCTACCGCGTACTATAACGGCTACATCCATCAATTTTATAAATATTGTGTGTGTGAATTGTAATCCAAAATAATTCTAGAAGCATTACTTAAGGTTCATCAAAGCTGTTATAGAATATCATAAGCATTACATAAGCTAATAAACCAGGGTCGATAATTTTTGAAAAAAAACCGTAGGAAAATAACCGTAGGATGAAATCTATTAAAAAAGGAGAAAAATATGATGAAAATGCAAGGAAAAATGAATTACGGGCGATCTAAGTTCGGGAAGTAGGGGGGGGGTGAATTTTCAAGGATAAAAAATTGTTTATCTCGATTTCCGGCAAAACTACAAGTCCTATGGAAAAAAGTTGAATAGCGGAGGTGAAGCTAATAAAATCATCTACAACTTTTGTATTCACAATTTTTTCACATAACCTCAAAATTTATGTGAAAAATTTAAAAAGCCAAGTTTTTAGTTTTTCACTTCTAACTTTTACAAAAAAAAATAAATCTACGAAATTTGATGAAAACTCACCTCTTAATGTCCCAAATAGGTACATTGTTATTTATTCGATTCAAAATTTTTATTTTTTCATCTTATTTTGACTTACTATCAAAAAAGCACCCTGATTTTCAAATTCTCGCTTCAGCTTTTTTCAAAAAGTCGGTGTTTTTTTTGTTCGATGTAATTTCTACTTTCTGATGGTGTAAAAAAATATACATTACTGTAGTATCTTCGCAGAAAATGCAAGAAATCGGAAAAAACCGGAATTCGAATTTTTTATCATTTTAAACTGTTACATCCAGTTTCACAGCTGCAGCAGATAGTTTTTGAGCAATACTTCCGGAATCATTTTCTTTTCTGTAAGGCATAATGCCACGTCGATGTTGCTTCCAGCCCCAATCTGTTGCTGTCAGTTCATTACCCAACCAAGTTGGAATCTGATAATATGCCCTGTAATAATGTTGTTCTGCTGCTCCTTCTGTGGGTGGGAGGTTTGTCAAAATGAAAGATGATTTAATATTTCCAATTGATATTATTGAAATCTTAATTGATTCAGTGTTATTTTTTCATTTTTACATTTATAAATAGATATGATTAATTGTAATTGATTTTTTTATATCTTCTTTACTTGCATCTTGCTTACAAAAAACAATAGCCAAATTTGTCAAATTTTTTGCATCTAATAATGAATTTACGATACTTTTCTTTTCCGGAAAATCCAGGCGTATTGTAACCGAAAAAAACAATGCATAAATGCAAAAATATTTTAGAAGGATTCATGTTTGAAACTATTAGACGTAAAAATAGATCCCTTAAATTTTCAAAACCTGGTTTGCGAAAATAAATGTCATGATTATTTGAATTTAATTGATCCAAATGGATCAAAATATCAATATCTTGACCCACAACAATGACAGTTTTAGTATCTCTGGCGATTTCTATTGAGGTCTTAATTATGTCAGCATCAGCATCTTCTTCTGCTTGTTTACAGAAAAACCCTTGTGACTGTAAATTTTTCATAAACGTTTTATTATTTTGTCCTTGTTTTTCTCGTTAAATAAAAATTTTTCTTGCAAAAAAGGAATTTTTGTATGGTTTTTTATAATCAAACTCTGGAATATTGTCTGAGGTTTTTCTACGACTAGGTTCTCCTCTTTTAGTTGAAGTAGTTGCTGGTACTGTTGTGACAGTTTGTTAATTATAGTAGTAGGTATATTTCGATTTGCAATTTTTTCGTTTATCAATGTAACATGGAATCTCACATTTTTGTAATTAAAGTGTAAATTTCAATATATAGCTCAAAATTGTACGTAATGATTTAAAAAAAAAACGAATTCGTGTTTTTTTCGATTTTTTGCATTCTCTGAGAACATTTACTATAGTAATGTATATTTTTTCACACTATCAGAAAGTAGAGACTTCAGCGAACAAGAAGCACACCGACTTTTTGAAAAAAGCTGATAATTTTTACCCTTAAAAACTCACCCCCTGCCATTTCCCGAACTCAGATCGCCAGTAATTTAGTTTTCCTTTCATTTTTATCATATTCCTCTTCTTTTCTAAGGGGTTTCATCCTATTAATATTTTTATTCACTTATTACCATTTTTGAAGGCCTTCAGC